CATCCTCCATCCTCCATCCATCCTCCATCCTGCATCCTCCATCCTCCATCCTCCATCCATCCTCCATCCTTCATCCTCAATCCTCCATCCATCCTCCTCCATCCTCAATCCTCCATCCTCCATCCATCCTTCATCCTCCATCCTCCATCCTCCTCCTGGCTCAGGGCTCAGCTGAACACTGCTGCCATCCCAAGCACAGAAGAGGAGCCATGTGAAAGGCTCCTTTGGGAAGGCCCCTTCTGACCCCAGCCTCGTGTGCCCTGGAGCAGACCCAGTTCCAGGCACAGCTGCCTGCTCCCCGTGGGTGTGTGCAGATGTGTCCTGGCACCTCCCCTGCCCACTGCAGACATCTGTGCCCTGTGTGACCTGCAGCAGGCATCCTGCCAAGGAGAGCCCTCCCAGTGCAAGGCCAGCAGGCAGAGAGGTTATCTGAGAGATGAGATGAGATGAGCAGGGAGGGGAAGGGTGGCTGCAGCAGCAGGTGAAGGCTCAGCTGGAGCAGCTCTGGACAGCCACACACACATTCCCAGTGGCACTGGAAGCTCCCAGATGCTCAGCACAGGAATGACTCACGCTGGAAGCTCCCAGGGCTGCTCCAGCCACTTGCCAGCAGCCTAAAAGGCTGCACTGGAATGTGCACAATGCTTCAAACAAGGGGCCTGAATTACTGAGCTTGGAGACTTTAATTCAGGTCGTTGAGTCCAAGCACCCTCCCAGCACTGCCCAGTCCATTACCAAAGCACATCCCCAAGCACCACATCCACTTGTTTTTCAGATGCTCCAGGGACACCTTCCCTGGGCAGCCTGTTCCAGTGCCTGACAACCCTTGCAGTGGTGAATTTTTCCTCCTATCCAATCTGAACCTCCCCTGGTGCAATTTGAGGCTTCTCTGTTTGCCCTGCCTGAGCACACAACGGGTTCATGTTCAGCCAGCTGCCAGCCAACACCTCCAGGCTCTTCTCCCAATTTCCCCTTGAATTATGGAGCTTCATTCTGCTCAGCTGAGGGCATTTAGCACCTCAGCCTCTTCCTCATCCTTTGTCATGGTGTTTCCCCCACATCCAGTGAAGAATGGAGATTCTCCTGAGCTCTCCTTTTGCTCATATATCTATATACAATGCCTGCTCATATGTGAATTTCTTGTAAATGAATGGAAATAGTTTCTGTTTCAGGGTTTAATGGTGTAAGACATCCATTGCTGGTGTTCCTCCCAGGGTGTCTGTGCAGTTTGTACAGCTCAGTCCCTGCAGACATGCACAATTTCCCAAGCACCTACAGCAGTGGCATGTGCCATCTCAGCTCTGCTCCTGCCTCAATTATCAGTCAAAAGGATAAACAAGTGGCACGAACAAACCCTGACCCACAAGCACAAACCTCTGAATCCTTGTGAGAACCACGCTCTCTGCTCGGGCTGCAAGGTTTTGAGGTCAGCAGGCCCCGCTGCCACTCTGCTGAGCTCTGCAAACCACTGTGACCCAGAACTGCCAGGGCAGGGTGACCCAGATTCTGAAATAATTAATAACATCTTCCCTGCTCAGAATGTGTGACTGCTCTTGTCTGTTCCCATCCTGGGCACAGGCTGGCTATGCTCTGCTGCAGGCAGACACACTCCACATGGCTCACACGTTTCCAAGCCTGACTCATGCTGTACATACACACTTTACTTTTGTTTTTCAATCACAAGGGAATTGATTTCACTGACATCCCTTGGCAGCATATGGTGCTAGCAGACAGAGCAGGGATCTGCACAGAATTGCAGCGGCTTTGTTGCTTTCCTCCACGTGCTAATGATACCAAACACAGCCTGGGAGCATAATTACTGTTTGCATGGGCATGCAGAGATACCCAAACAGGGCTCCAAACCAGCCACAACAACCCCAGCCCAACAGAACGTGCACATGTGGCACATGAGAGGCAGTAAGTGGCTGTGACACGGCCTGAAACATCAGCACAACATCTGGAAGCACTCTTCCCCAGCCTGCCTCTCTATCAGACAGATGGCTGCAGAGCTGGAAGCCCACAGGCCTCTCCAAAGGTTCAAGGCCAAGAGGATAAAGTGCTCCATCACTGCAGTTTTCCATTCTGTCAGTGTTTCTAAATCTCTCTGCTCTCCCCCACTGTGTTTCTGTGCACAAATGCCAACCTGAGGGCAGCTTGTTCCAGGACAGCCCAGGTTTGCAGCAGCAAGAGCAGGCAGGCCGAGATCAGACCCACCACAGGATGCTCTGGTGCTCTGGCTCTGGCTCAGAAGCCAGCCTAAAAATTCCCTGAGCCCTCCTTGCTCCCACCTGCTCCTCATCCCCACAGCAAGCCAGAGGTCTGCTGCACTGAAGTTTGTTATTTTAAAAAACAAACACCACAAACACCCCTTGCTGTGCCTTGGAACAGCTCTCCTGCCCTGTGGGCAGGCAGGATAAGGTACCCAGAAAGCAGGAGCCCTTCCAGGGGGGCTGTTCTCAGCTGAGTGTGGCACCTCACAAATCACACCAGCCTTAGGCTGCACCAAACCAGGCAATACTGACAGATGGAACTGGGTCCAGGACTGACCAAAAATATCCTTTCTTTGTCTACCCCAAGCACACACAGCAAACCTCCAGAAGCAGAAGCAACAAAGGAAAACAAACAACCAAGCAGTTGTCTAAGCCTTGTTTTCACTAATCAACACTGTTGTTATCCTCATCAATAGCTGCTTGAGTCTCAGCAGAAACTGCATTATGAGGCACACAAACATTGCTGATTTCAAGCTGTTTGCAGTTACTTGCCATAGTTGCAAAGCCTTTCTGAATAATTTTAAAGTAAACTCTGGCTCCTGGCTTGAGCACCACAAAGTATTTCTTAAAAAAGTAAAGAAGCATGACCCACTTAAATTCTCCAAAGGTAATGGTAAACAATTACTGATGTGATGTATCTAAAATATCTCTTGTGTTCTATTATTTATATAATGTGAAAGGTGTATTAGCTGCTGCTGCATTCAGACTCAAACTCCTTCTTTCAAAGTGCTTGCAGTGTAATTATATCCAACATTAATGACAGAGAAATGTACAGGAAAGGAAAAGCTGGAAACAAAAATCAGTATTTTTATTGAGTATTTTATTTACTTGTCTCTAGGGGTGTGAAGGGGAGAGAGTGCACTGGTTCTCCACGGTGCAGCAGGGAGATTTCTGAGCAAACACAGTGGAAAGCTCCTTCTAGTGCATCAATTAACCAACATATTTGTGAGCTGGCTGAGTTAGCTGCAGGGAGGATGAGGCAGTGCTGGTGCTGGAGCTCCAGAGCTGCTCCTCACACCCACCCTGACCTTGGTGTAGAGCTGCACATCCCCTCTGTGACCCACCCTGCTGAACCAGCCTGGAAGGGCTGGCGGCAGCACAGAAAATTCCCATAGGGACTCACAATCCTCCACCACATTAAATTAGCCCAATGGAGTACCTGTGCTCTGTGCAGAGGGCTCCAAGTGACACCCAGAGACTCAGAAATGCCCATTTCACCATGGGCTTCCCCTCAGGTTTCCCTACCCAGCTCCTCCCTGTACACAAACATTTCACTCAAACCAAGGCTCATCACGCTTTCAGAAGACAGCAACTATTTACATGCACAAGTGAGAGAGGCATTAATTAAAACATTGAGTTTTATTTGCATAATTAGTGCCAAAAATATTTTTATGGGTTAATTAGACTTCATGCAAATTGGATTGAGGAGATTTAATTTGGGGTTTGATAACCTGACTATTATAGTTCTGCAGTTGCAAATCTGCTCAGAGCTACATGCTGTTCTACAGCTACGTCCTCCCTTTCAAACTGGTTTAGTTTTTACTCCTGGCAGCCTCAAATTAAGCATTTTTCCTCTCCCTTTGCCAGTCCTGAGGTAGGTTGACTCAGGTCAGATGCCAGGTGCCCACTAAAGCAGCTCCATCTCTCCCTCCTCAGCTGGACAGGGAGGAAAAAATAGAATGAAAGCTGAGGGTTGAGATAAAGACAGGGAGAGATCAGTCACCAAGAGGAAATACACTGACTCAGACCATCAGCTCACCAGGAGCTGCTCACGGCAAGAGGAGTTTCTGCACTTTGCTCATGTCCAATATTTGGGCACAGAATGGAGAAGTTAAAATCTGCCCAGCTTCTCTGTGCCTGAAGGTGTGGTACAAAGCAACAGCCAGCCCAGCACCCAGAAAGGATTCCATGGTGCTCCTCCATGAGCCCAGGTTTGTGGTGACAGCCTCACAGAGCTGGGGCTGTGACCCAAGCACTGTTTGGATCTGCACAGTGGGGAATTCCCTGCATGGGCTAATGTACAGCAGCGTTATGAGAATTCACTGTGATTCCTGAGGAGAGCAATAGGATTTCCACTGAAAATACACAACTTTACTGTGTGCCATGGAAGACAGCCCTGCTGATGGAGCCAGCCCTGTTTCTGTGCTGTGGGACAGCCAGGCCAAGCCCCTGCAAACACAGCACACAGGCAGCAGGCAGTGGCAGCCCAGCTCATCCCCACAGGGCTCTGCCTCAGGCAGTCACCCAGCAGGCCAAGGAAGCTCCTTTGGAAGAATCCACTGGCTGGCACAGAGGATTATTCTGTGTTACCCACTGGGAGGTTTGAATTACCCTGCACAGTGGCTCAATGGAAGAACTCTCTGCTTGCTCCATGAACCAGCCCCAGAGGCTGTGCTACGTTCAGAGAAACAAGGTCAAAACTACCAAGCCAGAAAAAGGAAAGGTTCAGTAAAGCCTTTTGAATTCAGAATATTCATATTGCTGCCAAAATGACACCACCCCCAGCCCCGTGCAGGCCCATTCTATTAATTTTTTCCTTTGAACTGATGAGTTTTATTACCCATTGCAGGTCAGCAGATGGTACCACAGCTACCCTGAGTGCCTCCACGTTTCCAGGCTGCAGCTTTAATAGCTGTGAGCACTGCTGCTATGAGCCTTGAGCCCTTCAAGCCCTGAATGGTATCGTGGACATAAAAGAGTTGAATGTGCCGAGAAGAGGAGGTTCCATACCTGTTCCTGGAGCCTGGGGCTATCCTCTGGCACAGGACTGTGGTGGTGGAGTGCTTGCCACCATTGCCCACCTCCTGCTTCACGTCCCACTGCCGCGGGTCGCTCGTCCTCGCGCCCAGGATGTTCACTCCTTTCTTCACCTTTGCTCTGTGGGAAACAGCAATGGGAAAGGGTTACAAGCCTCACTCAGGGGTCTGTGAATGCAGCTCAGGCACAGGGATCTCAGCAGAGCAGTTTTAAGGATAGTGTCAGGTGTGCCTCTGATCCAGCAGTAAATAGGAGAGTGATATCATGAATGCACACCTGTGGCAACATCACATTTTCCAGACAGGGCCTTTATATGTTCTGCTGGAGTTAGGAGTCAAACTGAACAGTAGGAAAACCTGCACTCAAGGTTCTTTTTCTCTATTCAGGCAATATTGTTTTCCCAAAGAGAAGCTTGTCCCAACACAGAGGACTCTGGCATGTTTGTCTGCATCAAGACAAAGTTGTGCCTCACACAGAGGAATACTCCACTGGAGGCTTTTTAATAACCCATTTTATTCCAGATGAAATCCTTCTAGGTATCAGTGGACAGGTTGTTGCTCCTCTGCCTGACAATTGCCTCTTTCCTGCACATTCCCAAGGAAATTTCTGTCTGAAATCTCCAGCCTGGAGAGAATGCAGCTGTTGGTTAAGACAAGACTCTGTAACCCAGAGATGTTCCTAGAGGATGCAGCTTTCTGCCACTCTCAGCTGTCATTCCCTGTGGAAAAGTTAACTGTATTTATCTAGTGATGCTAACAACATCAGCAACAACTGCATGGAAGGTTAATTACAGAACACTTGCTAATGTAAGAGCATTTGTACAAAGGATTCTCAGCAAAGGTGGTTTTGGGTGCAGAATGCTGAGCTGCTGATGCTCAGCTCTATCACAAGGCACCAGGAATGGGGAAGATGAAGGTTCTGCAGCCCTTCTCTTGTGAAGGCAGTGAGGAGGGTCAGAAGGATGATGAGTATGTGGGGAGGAGGAGGCCACTGAGGAGTCCCCAGCCCTGGGAGCAGCATGGCCTCATCCTCAGAGGAAGAAGGGAAAGGGCAGCCTGACTCCAATGAACATCAAACATCACAGGTCACCACAGTGCAGAGGCTGAACTCAGAATCACAGTTTTCTAAAATATTTATGCAACACAAAACGTTCACTGGGCAGAAATCATCATCCAGCAAGATGCTGGTATCTTCTTGATATTTATGAGGGCTTGGCACCTAAGTTTCTTTAAAAAACTGGTCTTGCTGCATTTTCAGCCAATAAAACACTCAAAAGCTGTCCTTAGCAATGACTGAGAGTACCTGTCTTCTTGCAGTTTTTCAACAAAACAAAATTAATTTAAGGTATTGAAAAAGAAAAGTTGGTGTTTTTTTCTTCCCAGTATAAAAGCATAAAAGATTAATTCTCTCATTTGTATCATGAAACACCATGGAGCTTTAGAGAATGCTGTCTTGCTCTTGCAAAAGTAGCCTGATGAATCTCTTGTGCCTTCAGCTGAATTACTCAGAAGCAAAAACAGAAAGGCAAAGGAAGAATCAAATTCATTCCTGAAGGTTCATTAAAGCTTTAAGTCCCATTAGGTTTTCCAGTGTATTACAGTTCAAATAAATGAACAACAAGTAAATGTTTCAGTATTTATAAAACACTCCTGCCAATCTTGAAGCTGTGTAAACCCATCAGTATTTCTATGGCAATCTGTGTTTTAGGAGATCTTTGGATGTATTTTAGGACACTGCAATTTAGCAACTGGAGAGAAGCAAAACCTCATTGTTTATACTTTGTTCAGCTGCTCCTTGAGACAGGCTCTGAAATGACAGAACACCACTCAAAATGAGGCTTGGATCTCCAACAGAATTACAGCTCTGTCAGCAGCTGCAAATTGCTCTTTCCACCACAGAGCTCGACACAGTCAATACCTGGGCTCCTGTTAATTAGGATGGACACTGTGGATGGATGGCCAGGGTTAGTGGTCAGATCCACTGCCAGAGGACCAGACCATGGCTGCAATGCCATTCTGTTAATTAACTACAGGATGGGGCATTAAGTTGAGTGGTTTGCACATATGCCATTATATAAAGCCCATTAAAAAAAAATTCCATCCCAGGGTAAAGTAGGTTATGTTTAGTGAGAAAAATCAATGTTGTGATTGCACTTAGGACTGGAATGAGGGTATGAACACCCAGAAGATTGAACTTCCGAAATAAATATGCACAAGCACAATTTGCAACTCTCCCTCTAAAAAGGGCATTGAGTTTTACATAACAAGGTCAATGGATGAATCAGAATTAAGTCAGACAGAACTGAGCCCCACACATTTCCAAATGCAATCTGTACATATGCTACAAATGTTTTCACTCCAATTTTTATTTACTTGGTGTTTGAGTGCTAGCAAGGAAAAGTCTATTTAATTACTTACCAAAGATTTGTTGACCTTGTTGGATGCTTGTGATTAAATATTCATTTTTTAAAATCAATAGTGCCAACTTTGTACATTAAAAATCTGTAAGTTATACTACCTCAATAAACCCCAAGACCAAGGACCTGGAGGCCAAATGACTTGACAGTCTCCTGTATTTACCCAGCCAACCTCACAGTATTTATAAATCTACTGTGTTTACTTAAGGGTGACAATAAATGGAGAGGACAAACAGCTGATGGGGTTCCCCACTGCAGTTGGGAAGTTCTTTGCTGTTCCTGCTTACCCACAGGTAGATGATTGTCCTCACACAGAGGCTTTTCTGCACAGCTCCATGGCCTGCAGGCTTCCACCAGCCAGAACTCGTCAGCTTGGACTTCCACCCAAAGTGGAGCCAAAACCTTCCCCTACAACATTATTCTAAACAACCTCCTGGGAGTGTCACCAAATCTAAAACTGAAAATGCACAGAACTAAAAATGCACAGAACTAAAAATGCACAAAACTAAAAATGCACGGAACTAAAAATGCATGGAACTGAAAATGCACAGACCTAAACATGTAAAAAACTAAAAATGCACAGAACTAAAAATGCACAGAACTGAAAATGCACAAAACTAAAAATGCACAGAACTGAAAATGCACAGAACTAAAAATGTAAAAAACTAAAAATGCATGGAACTAAAAATGCATGCAACTGAAAATGCACAGAACTAAAAACGCACAAAGCCCAAGGGCAGCAGCTCGTGCATTTGAGGGTGATGCTCTGTGAGCTGGAAGTTAAGCCCAGGTTTTGATCTCGTGACAAAAGCAAAGCCTGAATGGAGGCTGGAGCCCAGCCCAGCAGAGCAGAGCTCAGCTCCAGCCCTCCCTGAGGAAGGGATTCCCTCCCTGAGTGGGCTCCAAGCCCTCTGAGCACATGGCACCCAGAACAAGGGGGGATTTTCTTGCTTGAACTTCTGAGGTTATTAACTCATAGCACAGGAAATCTCTGCCTCAGCTTTGTCTCAAAATAACTGTCTCTCTTTAAATCTCTCCAATGGAGAATTAAAAATCCTGCTGGCAAGCACAGCAAGCAGCATCTCAAAGATATTACAGAGAGTCTCCAGCAGCTTACCTAGGAATCATTACTTAATTTGTGTTGAGACCAAGTAAAAGCATTTATTTACTCACACAATCACACAGCAAATGTGCAATTTCCAAGCAAATATTTCACTTTCAACTTGAAGCTTTCAGTCATATACAAAGATTTCCATTTAGCACCTCACCTTCCTAACATGTCAAACCCAGAAATGATGCTTCTAATTAATGCATTCTGATCAATTGCAGATGAAAATCTAATTCTTGCATTTCACTATCCTCAAATTACAAGAAATGTCAGCAGTATTTAGATATAATACTGTACAGCTATTAAAGACAGCAACCAAAAGGCAATCAAATCAGCAGCAGCCAGAGCTGGAGATGTGACTTATGACTTAAGCAGCTCAAATTATTGCTTCCTATTTAAATTTAAATGTTAATCTTGCAGAAGTGCTGTGCCATGGAAGGGCTGTGCTACCTGCAGCAGTGCTACAGAGAGGGCACAGAGTGCTGAGAGCTCCCACCAGCCCTTCCCATGCAGGATTCTGCTGAGTGTGCTGGCACCAGAGAGCATCTCCCCTCTCTCTGCAGAGGAACAGACCCAGGGGAGCTGCTCTGCCTGGGTGGGCTGTGCTGGGCAAGGCTCTGGGCAGCACAGGGAGCTGGGCACATCCCTGGCTGTCCCCCTGAGCTGGCACCATCCACAGCAGGGCTGAGCTGAGCTGTGGCTCGGTGCAGGACCAGGGGAGCAGCAGTGCCAGTGCCTGGAAATGCAGCAGTGCCTGGAAATGCAGCAATGCCAATGCCTGGGAGGGCAGCAGTGACAATGCCTGGAGGTGCAGCAGTGCCTGGAAATGCAGCAGTGCCAATGCCTGGAAATGCAGCAGTGCCAATGCCTGGGAGGGCAGCAGTGCCAGTGCCTGGAGGTGCAGCAGTGCCTGGAAATGCAGCAGTGCCAGTGCCTGGAAATGCAGCAGTGCCAGTGCCTGGAAATGCAGCAGTGCCAATGCCTGGAAATGCAGCAGTGCCAGTGCCTGGAAATGCAGCAGTGCCTGGAAATGAAGCAGTGCCAGTGCCTGGAAATGCAGCAGTGCCTGGAAAGGCAGCAGTGCCAGTGCCTGGAAATGCAGCAGTGCCAATGCCTGGAAGTGCAGCAGTGCCAATGTCTGGAAATGCAGCAGTGCCAGTGCCTGGAAATGCAGCAATGCCTGGAAATGCAGCAGTGCCTGGAAATGCAGCAGTGCCAGTGCCTGGAAATGCAACAGTGCCAGTGCCTGGAAATGCAGCAGTGCCTGGAAATGCAGCAGTGCCAGTGCCTGGAAAGGCAGCAGTGCCTGGAAGTGGAGCAGTGCCTGGAAATACAGCAGTGCCAGTGCCTGGAGGTGCAGCAGTGCCTGGAGGTGCAGCAGTGCCAATGCCTGGAAATGCAGCAGTGCCTGGAAATGCAGCAGTGCCAGTGCCTGGAGGTGCAGAACTGGGGGCTGGAGGGGGAACAGGGCCATGCCCTCAGCAGCAGCAGCAGCAGGCACCAGGTACCTCTCACTCCTGCACTCCAAGCAAAGCTTCCACAGCAGGGCTGCTCTAGAGAGCAAACAGCTGAATCAACACTCAATTCCTACAAGCA